CAATATTATGAGCAAATGTAAACATTGGATTTTCAGCTTCGTAAGTACAAAACAATCATAACATTTGTAGCATCACTCACCCCTCTGTAAAAATTAAAATTAATAGAAACGGAACACGAATCATCATCCGACAGAAGGAAACTTGAGTAAGGTCACCATTTATCTCAACTTCATGATATGAAATCATCGTACAAAAAGAAATGTGCATACTAAACTATAGAATCTGAGTTAACTCTAAGTGCCTGGTCGAGCTGGTCCCAAATAGTTTGTTACTAATCCCATGATAGCAAACCTGATTTCCAGACATAAAATGTAAAATTAGTTACAAAATCAAATGAGTGAATATAAACTCAAGCAAGATAGCCAAAACATTCCATATAAAACAAGGGGGAAAAGGTAAAAAAGGTGAAACACTGCCTAAATTAAGAAACATACTTAAATTAATAAAATTATGTCCACAAACATTAAATAGAGATGCAGATAATGGAGATATCATCAAGTCAAAGATTTCTTCTCGAAGGAACCCTGAGCCAGTTAGCAGAAATGAGGTAGAAAGAGAAGGAAATCAAAGGCAAACTGGTGTTTCCCACAGAAACATCTGCCTAAACATTGAATAAGGGAGCAGATAATTGAGACTTCATTAAGGCAAAAAGCTCTTAAAGAACCTACGACGGTTCATAGAAATGAGGCAAAATAGAAAAAGAACTGAGGCAAACTAGCGTTTCCCATAGAAGTTCAAAGAAGAATCATCCAAGTCAATTAGAAAACATTACACAAGAAGTTTGAGAGAAACCAATATCAAAGCCAATACAGCTTATTAGGTGATCTGCTCAACAAAGGAAGCCTAGCCCCAAATAAACTAATGTAGCATTACTTGAAGAAAGATCAGAAAAAAGACAAGCAACACAAAAGGCTTCATACAACTACAAGAACTGAGTTATACAAGAGAAAACACCACAAGTAATGCTCCCTTTTCTTTCCCTAGAGCATAACCCCTCTTCTCATAAATGCTTTGGAATGCCCAGAATCCTTAAACTGCCACCTATATCACTTAGTTACCAAGCGGGCCTTTCTTAATGGAAATTCTTATGCTACCACCTCATACTTCATCAGTGAAAGTTTTATTCTCTAATTGATCTTTGTTGAAGTCAGCATAGTGTGCCACAAAAAGAATGAGATGGCAGTGTAAGAAACTTTCATGGACAAAGTAGCATGCGGAAGTTTAGGAAACAGCATCAGTTCCAGGATGGTCTGGTTAAGAATAGGCGCATTTAGCAATCAAGGGACAGAAAAAGCCAAGATTTTACAAATTTCCCCGAAAATATTTTTAGTAGAAATAAAACATTCCCAGCAAAACAGGACAGGAGATAATTAGATGAAATAGCCAGCAAAGGAAATTACAATTACATGGAATGATCATTTTACAACTCCAGCAATCCAAAAAACCAAGTCACAGAAGTTGCCCCAATGCTGATGTGAATCACAAAACTTACTCTTACTACCCAATTATTGTCGGATCCAATAGAACTCCTAATTAAAATTCCTAAATCTAACCTAAATATAATACAGTAATATATTTATTATTGTTTTTAATATTGCAAATACAGCTGGATTTAAAATTTTTTTAAAAAAAAAAGGAGAGTTAAGTAACAAACATCATAGCCATAGAAATCTGCTTGAGATCGTTCTCGACGTTCCTCATATTCGCCAGTGATTGGGCGCAGAATATGATTGCTAGCCACGAGCTCAGCTTGTACTGAAAAAAATAATAATAAGACAATAAATCAGCTGAAATTTTTGTCTAAAAAGTTTCGAAAAAATAAAACGATGTTGTTCAACTTCAAGTTCAGAAGACAGATCGCGAGAGAAGGAAGTACCCTGAACATGACGCCCGCGATGCCGAAAACCACGGCTATAAAACCGGAATAATCGACGGGGAGATCTTGAGGCGACACCGGCTGCGTCACGAAGGGCTTCGCCGCCGACGGTTGTCTCGGGTCGTTGACCGACGCTGAATTGTTATTGTGCGACATCTCTGATCTCTCTTTCCGTGTAACGGTGTTTCCTCTTTTGTGGAGTTTTAGATCCTATTTACCTGAGATGAGTGCAGCAGGCGAATCGGGTCTCGCCACGTCAAAAATGCGGCCAGCCTTGGCATTTTTTTCTCGCTCAAGCCCAAGTAGATATACGATCGAGTTGGAATAATAGCAATATTTAAAATATGTTGATACGAATTCGGATAATAATTTAAAATTTCAATTAAATATTTATAAGATTTAAGTGTGTTATTAAATAATAAAATTTAGATTAAGATATTTAATAAACAATAGGTACTTTGTTTGTTTATTTTTTAATTTTTAAATAAACAAAGTTAAAATTTTGTTAATTTTTTTTTTTTTTATTTGTGAATAAGTTTTTTAGAGAATTATGTTGGAAAAAAATTTTGTTCAAAGAATTAAAAGAACTTTGTATTTATCGACCAAAAATAAGTTGTATGGTCAAATCTAGTTCAATATTGCATTAATCAGAATTTAAAAATATATGTTCAGAGACAATTTGCTAAAAGTTTATGAAGTAAGTTTCAAAATTTAAACACTATCTTGATATAAAATAAAAAAAATTCAAAAATTGATTTTAATGGAATGAATTAAGAGTTTGCATGCAAAATGTTGAAAATTATATAATTATTCAAGATTTAACATTCAATTAATAATTTGTTACACAAGCAGGTCAAGCTGCAATCTAATTTCAAGCTTCATCACAATATTTACTTAATTAACAAATAAAGTTCAAATAATAAAACAAAATCAATTAAAAGGCTTGTCTAGTTCTTGTACTCTTCAAGTTTGTTTAATTTAATTCTTATACTCAAAATTAAAGTAATTTAATTTTTAATTTTGAGAATAGCATCAATTTAGTTCTTTCTTCTAACGACATCTAATTTTATTATTAAAAAATGACTCTATCGCTAACGAGTCACATTTAATGATATGGCATGCCACATGGAATTAAGTGATGAAGTGACAATGTCATGTGATACTATACGATGACGTGATAATGCTAACATGATACTAACATGTCAACATGTCAGTGCCATATGACAGATCAAAAATTTTACAAAAAAAAAAAAATCTACCATGTCATAGGGATTACAGTGAACAAAAATATATAGTACATGAACAAAATTGAGATGCTGAGGGACAAAATTGAAAAAAAATTTAAAAAATACAAATCTTCAAGTAGATTATTGATATGTTTAATAATAAACTAAATATTTAAGTATAAAAGATTTATGGTGTTAAAAAATATATATAAATTTTTTTTACTTGATTATTTGATTCTAGAATATGTAAATTAATTTATCTTTTTTACAAAAATTAAGTTTGAATTCTCCTTCTATAAAAAAATTTGAAAAAATTTTATACCTGAAGTTAAATTTAGATAAGTAACTTATATTATGTTAAAATAAAATAATATAAAATGACTAAATATGTTGATTTGGTTACAACTTTCACAAATTATAAATACACATTCTTTTAAAATTATGCAACTCTTACCCAATTTATTTTCATTTAAATTTTCTCAAATTAACAAAATATATTGATTTAAATACAACTTTCACAATTTATAAATACATATTCTTTTAAAATTATTCAACTCTTACACAATTTTTCTTTTATTTAAATTTACTCAAACTTTCTTATAAAAATGATTTTATTTAAATTTAAATACTACAATCAAATTTTCCTAAATTTAAATATAAATTGTTACTTTGGATCTACAAAAAATTTATTAATAAAATAAGATAGAACAAATATTTATAGTTATCTTTAACTTTATCAACCGTAAATACAGTCTTTAATCTAGAAAATTTTAACTTAAAATATTAAACAAAATAAAATATAAATAATAAAAAGAGTATAACTCAAATTTTATGGTTGTAATAAAAGATTTATCATGTCTAAATTAAGCAAGTCAGAACGAAGAATTACTTTTATAATCATCTCTAACTCTATATCTCCGTTCTTTATTTTTTTAAAAGAAAAAACTAAATCAACATATTTTACTTTTTTTGACTTTAGCTCAAGTTAAAAACTTAGTTAAATAAATTTTAAAATTTTATACGATTATAAATGGAAGAAAAAAGAATTTATTTAGTCATTTTATATTATTTTATTTTAATATAATACAAGTTATCATCTAAATTTGACTTCAGGTATGAAATTTTTTCAAATTATTTTTATAGAAGGAGAATTCAAACTTAATTTTTGTAAAAAAAAATAAATTAATTTACATATTTTAGAATTAAATAATCAAGTAAAAAATATTTATATATATTTTTAACACAATAAATCTTTTACACTTAAATATTTGGCTTATTAATAAGCATATCAATCATCTATTTAAAGATTTATATTTTTTTCATATTTTTTTCAATTTAGCCCCTCTACATCTCAATTTTATTCAATTTAGTCCATGTATTATATATTTTTGTTTACTTTAGTCCTTATGATGTGGTAAAATTTTTTTCTTTTAAAAATTTGTTTGATTTACCATGCCTGACATGTCATATCATTGTATAGTGCCACACATGGCATTGCCATGTCATCACTTAATGCTACATGGCATGCCATGTCATTAAAAGTGATATGTCATCACTTATGTCAGCAATGACGTTATTTTTTAACAAAAAAATTAAATACAGTTAAAGTAAGGATTAAATTGATATAATTTTTAAAATAAAAAAATTAAATTATTTTTATTT